ACTCCTTCCGCCTTCCTCCCTCCCTCCGGGCCTCCCCCTCCCTCTCCCTGCATGACTCCCTCCGCTTCCCCTCCTCCCTGCTTCCTCCCTGCTCTTCCCTGCTTCCTCCCTCCCTCCCTCCCTCCTCCCTGTCTCCCCCTTCCTCCAGGCCTCGGGAGGCATCCGCGAGCACTCGTGCCACACTCCTCTGTCAGTGACCCCCTCCCATAGATCAAAGCATGCGGTGGGTTTCATGAGTTGCACTTCGGCCGCAGTCTCCCCCGCGCGTGCCAACTTCGAGTTTGGGGGGAGAGGTTCGGATCGGGGGCATCGAAGAGCGGGGTGAGGGCCACCCCCCTAGCAGTGACACCCTCTGCCACTGCCTGAGGAGGACACCCTCTTGGCCTGGACACCCAACCCCAGAATCATTCAAAACGCTCCAAAGCACCCCAAATCGTCCCATGGCCTCTGCGATCCTCGATGCTCGACGCTGCCTCCCCCGGGATCCTCACCCAGAGGTGGCGACAGCCCCAGTGGTAAGTGAACCTCCCTTGGGGGGTGTCCACGAATCCTTCCCCCCCACCGTGGCTTGTCGGCGCTGCGTCAGCTCCGTGGGGGCCTTCCGGTCCCAGGCGGCCTGCGGTCCGCGGCGCCGCGGCCGCGGGGTGCGGGGTGCCGTATGCTGCCCGCCTGCGGGATGGGGGCGGGGCTCGCGTCTTTTCCATCCTCCGCTCGGTCGCCCTCCTGCTTTGACGCCGACTTGGTGTGGGCAAGGTTGCGGGAGAGGAAGGGGAGAGAGGCCACCAGGATTGAAGTCGCCCTCCCACTTTGACGCCGAATTGGTGTGGGCAAGGATGCGGGAGAGGAAGGGGAGGGAGGACACCGGGAACGAAGTCGCCCTCCTGCTTTGACGCCGAATTGGTGTGGGCAAGGATGCGGGAGAGGAAGGGGAGGGAGGACACCGGGCACGAAGTCGCCCTCCTGCTTGGACGCCGACTTGGTGTGGGCAAGGATACGGGGGAGGAAGGGGAGGGAGGACACTGGGACCGAAGTCGCCCTCCTGATTTGACGCCGACTTGGTGTGGGCAAGGATGCGGGAGAGAAAGGGGAGGGAGGACACCAGGGACGAAGTCGCCCTCCTGCTTGGACGCCGACTTGGTGTGGGCAAGGATGCGGGAGAGGAAGGGGAGGGAGAATACCGGAAACGAAGTCACCCTCCTGCTTTGACGCCGACTTGGTGTGGGCAAGATGCGGGAGAGGAAGGGGAGGGAGGACACCGGAAACGAAGTCACCCTCCTGCTTTGACGCCGACTTGGTGTGGGCAAGGATGCGGGAGAGGAAGGGGAGGGAGAATACCGGAAACGAACTCACCCTCCTGCTTTGACGCCGACTTGGTGTGGGCAAGGATGCGGGAGAGGAAGGGGAGGGAGGTCACCGGGAACGAAGTCGCCCTCCTGCTTTGACGCCGACTTGGTGTGGGCAAAGATGCGGGAGAGGAAGGGGAGGGAGGACACCGGGCACGAAGTCGCCCTCCTGCTTTGACGCCGACTTGGTGTGGGCAAGGATGCGGGAGAGGAAGGGGAGGGAGGACACCAGGAATGAAATCGCCCTCCTGCCTGGACGCCGACTTGGTGTGGGCAAGAATGCGGGGGAGGAAGGGGAGGTGTGGGCAAGGATGCGGGAGAGGAAGGGGAGGAAGGACACCGGGAACGAAGTCGCCCTCCTGCTTTGACGCCGCCTTGGTGTGGGCAAGGTTGCGGGAGAGGAAGGGGGCCAGGAATGAAGTCGCCCTTCTGCTTTGACGCCGACTTGGTGTGGGCAAGGATGCGGGAGAGGAAGGGGAGGGAGGACACCAGGAACGAAGTCGCCCTCCTGCTTGGACGCCGACTTGGTGTGGGCAAGGATGCGGGAGAGGAAGGGGAGGGAGGACACAAGGAACGAAGTCGCCCTCCTGCTTTGACGCCGACTTGGTGTTGGCAAGGATGCGGGAGAGGAAGGGGAGGGAGGACACCAGGAACGAAGTCGCCCTCCTGCTTGGACGCCGACTTGGTGTGGGCAAGGATGCGGGAGAGAAAGGGGAGGGAGAATACCGGAAACGAAGTCACCCTGCCTGCTTTGACGCCGACGCCGACTTGGTGTGGGCAAAGGATGCGGGAGAGGAAGGGGAGGGAGGACACCGGGCACGAAGTCGCCCTCCTGCTTTGACGCCGACTTGGTGTGGGCAAGGATGCGGGAGAGGAAGGGGAGGGAGGACACCGGGCACGAAGTCGCCCTTCTGCTTTGACGCCGACTTGGTGTGGGCAAGGATGCGGGAGAGGAAGGGGAGGGAGGACACCGGGAACGAAGTCGCCCTCCTGCTTTGACGCCGCCTTGGTGTGGGCAAGGATGCGGGAGAGGAAGGGGGCCAGGAATGAAGTCGCCCTTCTGCTTTGACGCCGACTTGGTGTGGGCAAGGATGCGGGAGAGGAAGGGGAGGGAGGACACCAGGAACGAAGTCGCCCTCCTGCTTGGACGCCGACTTGGTGTTGGCAAGGATGCGGGAGAGGAAGGGGAGGGAGGACACCGGGCACGAAGTCGCCCTCCTGCTTTGACGCCGACTTGGTGTGGGCAAGGTTGCAGGAGAGGAAGTGGAGGGAGGACACCAGGAATGAAATCGCCTTTCTGCCTGGACGCCGACTTGGTGTGGGCAAGGAAGCGGGAGAGGAAGGGGAGGGAGGACACCGGGAACGAAGTCGCCCTCCTGCTTTGACGCCGACTTGGTGTGGGCAAGGATACGGGAGAGGAAGGGTAGGGAGGACACCGGGAACAAATCGCCCTCCTGCTTTGACGCCGACTTGGTGTGGGCAAGGATGCAGGGGATGAAGGGGAGGGAGGACACCAGGAGCGAGGTCGCCCTCCTGTTTTGATGCCGACTTGGTGTGTGAAAGGATGCGGGAGATGAGGGGGTGGGAGGGAACTCTGTTGGAAGCGTCGGAATGTGCAATGCGATGTTTGCCAGCGTGGTTCCCGAACAGTGGGTCCTTGTACAGGAGAGAAGCTTGAGGAAAACAGAGGGCGAGCCCTGAGGCGACGATACCACGGCCGCCCGCATGGCCTTCTCCGCCTCCGCCTCCACCTCCGCTGTAGCACTGTTGCGCAGAATACAGGCAGTCGTGCAAGCACGACGGATGATGCGGCCCATTTCCGTCGATTGGAAGTCTGACGCTGCCTCCGCCTCCGTCTCCTCTTTCCTGTCCCTGCTCTTCCTTATCCTCTTCCCTCCTTCCTGCGTCCTCTCTCCCCTCCTTAGGCCCTCCTTGTCTCCCCGTCCCTCCCTCCCTCCACGATTTTGAGCAGGGACTGACCGTCTCAGCACTCATAGAGGGCTACCACCAAATATTCTGAGAACAAAAGAATGCTCTAATAGACGTAACAAGGATCTGATAACCTCAGCTGGGCCCCCCCAAACACATGCGCACGGTGAGCCTGCGCGCCGAGCGACGTCCTGCAGTCGCAGGCGGCTCGGCACTCCGCCAACCCGCAGGACTGCCACGGGCTCCGTACCCTCCCGCCGCCGCGAGGGCCTCCGCGCAGGTTGCCGAGCTGTCCCCGAGGGCCCGAGCCAGCCTCCCAGCGAGGAGGGCCCCCGGCGGGCCCCGTCGGCCGAGGCCCCCCAGACGGGGTCGGAGCAGATGTGGTCGGGGGATCGCGCCGCATCCCCGATGCATCGTCGATGCCCCGGCGACGTCGGCGATGCATCGGCGATGCGGCGCGATCCTCCGACCACATCTGCTCGGCCCACGCCCTAGAGTCGGGGGGCAGAGCTCTGGGGAGCGTGTGGGCCAGGCAGGGATTGGGCCGCCGCCTCCGCTGGAGGTGGCGGCCGTGGGGGGGCTATGGGACCGAAGGCTCTCCTCCTGCCTCCTTCGGGGGAGACGTGGGACAGCAAGCAGATGGGAGTTATCGATTGGAGCACCCTGTGGGATATGCTCTAAAACAGGAGCATCTCGCAGTCGGATCTACCCTTTCTCCGACCATGCACTGCGCCGATCGCAAGGGCCGCGCTGTCTTAGACGCATCCACCCCGAGTGTGCCTAGGTACGTAACGGCACCCAGTGTGTCTATAGATGCCAGGGGCTAGAGAGTGAGAACGGTATTTTGTGAAGGCCCGAGATATTTCGGAGGAAGAAACAGCAAACACAAACTTTGGGCGCTCCGCGCGGGTTTCTCGGACCTGCGCTGGACCGCCACCCAGCCTTGGCACGCGGAGCGTGCCAGGGGCGGCGCGGGAGGCGCCGCCGCAAGGGCCCGGCGCCGAGCCGAGACGTCCGCGCGGAGCGCCAGCAAACGTATGTTTGTGGCGTTTCGTCTTCGTCTTCTTCGCTATTTGTTTTCAAGAACCACGCAGGCTTTGGCCACCAAGGTATCGGATCAGCTGCACGCAGCTGGTTCCCCCCCAACTGCTTGCTGGGCAAGCAAGAGGCAATCGCTTGCCGAGGAAGGTGCCCTGCGACGGGGGGCCGAGGCCAGCTGCACACAACAGATTCCGCAAGCGCCCCCTTCCCCCCCCCCCGCAGCAGCTTCCGCGCCCCCCCCCTCGTCCGCCCCGAATCCGCCGCCGCCGCCACCGCCGTCGTGGTCGTGGTCGTGGTCGTGGTCGTGGTCGTGGTCGTGGTCGTGGTCGTGGTCGTGGTCGTGGTCGTGGTCGTGGTCGTGGTCGTGGTCGTGGTCGTCGTCGTCGTCGTCGTCGTCGTCGTCGTCGTCGTCGTCGTCGTCGTAGCCTTCGTCGTCGTCGTCGTCGTCGTCGTCGTCGTCGTCGTCGTCGTCGTCGTCGTCATGGTCGTCGTCATGGTCGTCGTCGTCGTCGCCGTCGTCGTCGTCGTCGTCGTCGTCGTCGTTATCATCGTCGTCGCCGTCGTCGTCGCCGCCGCCGCCGCCGTCGTCGTCGTCGTCGCCGTCGTCGCTGTCGTCGTCGTCGTCGTCGTCGTCGTCCTCGCCGTCCTCAACCTCATCCTCGGCTCCCCCGCCTCCTTCTGTGCCGACCGCCCTACCCCCCCGGATCGCTCACGCGCTTTTCCTGGACACTGGGGCCAGCAACTGGCCGTCCGCTGCTGGGGCAACCGCGCGGGCCGGCATGGCGCCGAGCACTCCTTTCAAATCTCCTGGCCGGGGATGGTCCCCCTCTGTGTCGGCCGGGATGTGTGGACCTCCTGGCGGCTCTCTCGGAGCAGGGCGAATTGAGGACTGGAAAGCAGTCCCCGGACCCCTCCGGGGGGCCAAACGCACCCGTTTTCCGAGCCGCGTCCAGCCGTGGCGACAAGGGCCCCCCCGCAGGCCAACTAGCCAGAGGAGTATAAAACGCCATACACCATACATGTAGTTTCGCGGATGTCCGCGCAGACTTCTTGGATCGGAGCTCAGAGATCCGACGACATGGCTCTTTCAATCCGCGGCCCCAGAGGTACCGACCTCTTCCCTGGGGGGAGTTTTCCGTCCCGGGCCCGCTGGCGGGGCTTGAGATGCCAAGCCCCAGGGGCTGAACTCCAGGAAAAGAGCCGGAATTGAAAGCATACTGTCCTCGGCGATCTGGGCCCTCTTGCCCGCGCGTCTGTCGGCATCGCCTCCCTCCGCGCGGCAGCGCCTCCCCTCGCAGGCCGCCGGCGCCGCCCGCGGCCCTCAGGGTGCCGCGGGCGGCGCCGGCGCGGAGGCCGGTGCGGCAGCGGCTCGCCCGAAGAGCCGCGGCGCGGTGCGCCCGGCGTCGTCGGCGGCGGGCGCCCGGAAGACCACGACGAGCGCGCTCACGTTGTCCGAGCCGTTCCTGGGATAATGCGAGGATGGCTTCGGATAGTCGGGGGGAACCAAAGGGGGCGATAGCAAAGGGTAGTGTAGATAATCAGCTCGCGTAGCTGATTTTCCCAGCGCCTCCTGGCGCCGGGAGGCGCCCATATATCGAGGAATGGGCCCAGCGGCGGGGCCGAAACCAGCTGCATGCAGCAGATTTCGTACCCCCCCCCTTTCCCTATCCCCCCCTTTTGCTCGGCCCGATATATGACGAGGATAAGAATCCTCGTCCTGGCTTGGACGAGGATGATCCATCCTCATCCCAGACGAATCCAGGACGAGGATCAAGTCGGGTACGGATAAATCGAGGATCTCCGAGATCTGGCGGTTCTGGACAGTGTCTCGAGCGCCGCGGCCCTCTCAGAGCATTCTGGAACGCTGTCAGAGCGTTCCGGAACGCTCTGGAACGGATTCATCCACGTCCTAGCCCCGTCTGGTAGATGGCTCCTACAGTCAGGTGGCTGACTTGCGAGTGCGAATTTTGACGAGGTTTGTCCATCTAGGGACTATAGTTCGGATAGACCGTAGTGGAGGCGTGGCTAGGTCTAGCCGCCAACTCATGCGACAGCCGTTGAATCCGCCCGGCCGACCGACCAGCCGACCGACCGAACGACGAATGACAACGACGGCGACGACGACCAACCGACCGACCGAAAGAATGACCGAGCGACCCAGCGGCCAAGCGACCGACGACGACCGACCTACCGACCGAGCGATCGACGACGACCGACCGACCGACCGACTGGCCGCCCGAGCGATCGACGACGACGACAACGACCAACAGCGACGACCGACAGACAACGACGACGGCAAGGACCACCGACCGACCGACCGACCCCGACGACGACCGAGCGACGAGGACGACGACCGACGTCGACGACCGTTCTAGAACGCAAAACTTAGAAGGCCGGCGGCGACGGGCCGAGGCCCAAAATTCTAGAACGCGCGGGCCGGGGTAGAATTCTAGAAGGGAGCGCTTCGAGGATGCGCCCCCCCCCCTCCCCCAGAAGTGGGGGTTCCGCTTTTAGGAGTATATATATATATATATATATTTAAGGGATGTGCCACCGCGGCCCGAATGAGCCCGAAGGAGCCCGGATGAGCCGCCGCGAATGACCCCCGAAAGTGCCAGAATGTGCCCCCGGCTGGACACTCCCCAGCGCCCCCGACGCACCCCAACTCAACCCTCGTCGCCGTGGTTCGTCGTTGTGGTTAATCGTCGTTCGTCGGTAGTCGTCCTGAGTCGGTCCGACGGTCGTCGTCGTCGTCGTC